TTTCATCTACCTTGCACTATGTAAGCAATCTCTCAGAAAATTGGTACAGTTCATTAAGATCCGAGCTGGCAGCATCGCGCGTAGTACAACCAGTATTGCTAGCTAGTTGACTCGACACTGTATGCTGGCGCCGAATCAATTAATGGCACTGGCAATTAACGGCATTTGTGGCACTCTACGTTCACATCACAAGCCTTGTCTCAAAAATTCGTAACAGATAAACTGCCTTTTTTATTACAAATTCTGAAGATGTCGAATCACTGTCGAGCTTCAAACTAGCAATACTGAGAGGACGTATAGTGCGACTCGCATTAATGTTATTCGCACTGACCGTAACTACCATCTCCACCGTATCTCTGCACTGCATCTTCTGCTCTGGACAAACCACAGAAAATAATTATTGGGTTGCAGAATCAGTGTTAAAAACCTTTCACTCGGTCTGGCTGCTCGTAATTCTTCAGCCCCTCAATATGGATTGACAGACCTACACGCCGACATACCGAGCCAGTGATGTATACAGCTGCGGAAAAAAAACATGGAACGAGAAAAAGAAATAGGAGTTTTCTATCATTTTTTTCCTTGACTTGTGTTCGCAATATGGATATAGATAAAGGATGCTGGAAGAACCGTTTTCAAATCAGTAAAAAGGACCCTAAGCAAACAAACAAGTATGCGAGATCTAGGTTCCGTCACTCAAGGTCAGCATCAGGATGACAAAATGACCGAGTAAAGCCTTCTCCCCAACCCGATCAGGCATCTTTGAGATGACTTGAAGCATGAGATAAATGAAAGAAGACACCAACATAAGCGAGAAGTTCCATGCATTTTAAGGAATTTGGAGGCGAATATCCGTGAATACCCCTGAAGCTCCTGTGGAGTCGATTCCACGGATGATGAAGGCTCCAATTAAACCCAGCAGTGAAACCACATCCAGAGCGCTGAATAGTTCTTCTTGTTGAATTCCCGCTATCTGCTTACCTTTCCACTCTATTGCTGTTAAATAATAGCTTCAGGGCGCGGAGGTGGTGTAGTGACAAGTGGCGCGCTTACCACTCGCGCGGCGCCGGGTTCAAATCCCGGGTCGACTCCCGCCCAGGCCAACCAAGCCTTCTACCCTCCGGGGACGGTAAATTGGTACCAGATTCGTCTGGGAGGATAAAACACTGACTTGTACATCGGCTGGCCACCGCAAGTCATTGTATAGGCCACATCGCATTCAATAAGCCACTACGATTCTGAATGGAAGTAGAATGCGTGCCGCATCCCACAAAGGGATTGATCACAACGGCGCAAGACTGTTTTACTTTCTTTAATAAGTCTTTCAGATACTGTTTAGTACGCAATTTGTGATGTTGTTGCCAATTTTTCTTTTCACAGCTGTAATATTATTAACTACAGCCCAAGTAATAATTCAGTCGGTGATACGAAAAAGTTGTAAGGAAGTAGAGGATGAAAAAGGGCAGAGACACCGGAAGGACCTAGCAATTACGTGCTCAATAACCCTGTGGGGGGAGTACTAATGTTGCAGTTCAGTCAAGCTTATCCTACCTACCCCACAGTACTGACGGAACTCACACATCGGATGCCGGAGACCCGGATCTCCTGGCCCTTTACATCCTAAAAAATACGTACAAATACATCAAATACTCACATCGCTGATGATTTCAAGACGTTTCTGCATGATGGCGTTGAGCGTGGCAGTGAAACAGCGCATCGTCTCATCGGAGCCGGCAAGTTCAGGTGGAATCATGTCCTGACACTGCGACAAAGTATCATCGTTAACACAGTAATGTGAAAGAGCAAAAAAAAAATTGAAAACTGGATATTACTCTGCACTGGTGTGGGAGATAAATATGCTTTCACTGTAATATTTCTAGTATGAAGAAACAAATAATAATCGTAAAACTTCTTTCGCCAAAAAGTGAGCCCAAGCAAGGGTATACTAGAACACTGGTGAATTCCTTTTTCTTCTCAAACAATCGATTCCCGTGCAAAACGAAGAGCAAGTCATACCGCTTTCCTTCAGGCCCATTTCTTTTTTCTTTTAGTCATTTCTAGATGGAATTTTGGGGTAAATGAAACCCGCCTCATATACAGAAGAATAGGGATGCGATCCAGAGCTATTATTCAGAATAAAAAAGAACTCACAAAGTTATCGATGCCGAAATTTTTGATACAGAACTGAAGAAGACGTTGTTGGTCAGCTTCCGAGATTTTCTCCACTTGCTGGAAAAAAACGACGGCTTAGAAAAGGATCTGTTCCCGAAAAAAAACCAGAAGATTCATTTAAGAGTTCTGACCGGCTGTTGTTCACGAGTCTGCATGATCTTCTGGAGAACTTCTTCTGTAGACTCTGCCATTTTAGCAACATTATCGCGAAATAGTGAGTCTTTCGTTATTCCCGATCCGGCATGTCGCTGTAAAGAAAGTATTCGGTAAAGGTACCAATGGACAGCAAAAGACACGTGAATGTCACCCTCACTCGTTCCCTTGTTGTTGATGATTGCACAGGTGGGGAAGTAGTCACCAAAGAAGGAGTGGATTCTGGTACGGGCGCTGGTGTAATCGTAGCGATTTGTTGAGTTTCAATATCGCCACTGTCTTCTGTTTGACAACCATTTTCACACATCTCAACCTCGGCGTGCTCCGTAACATTCTCCTTCAAAACACACGATTAATCGATATTTTGTCAACAGCCGTGTGTTCCACTTCCTAGTGAAACCAGTGCTACCTCATAGTTCTCATTGTCGAGTTCTTCATCTTCAGGTTCAAGTGAAGAAATGGATGAATGGCGACATGCGTCACGATGATGGTGAAGTCCACAACCACACACTGAAAAAGGAATATTATAG